TTTTCCATAGAATCTACTCTAATTTTCCTTTCTTCCCATGAAATTAATATCCCTTCTGGGATTAGCCATCTAAATACAATACTTTTTTAGTTTAATTTAGTTGCCAAAATTTTATAGTCTCCCCTTTGTTCTCTCACTCTTCTTGGGATTTGTTTAAGAATCAAGACTGCTTTATCTTTGTATGTAATTGTTTCTTTTCTAGATATTTTGTATATAATGGACCTTTCTTCTAGCAAATCTTACATGGTCTTCTTTTGGGCATTTGTGGGGTCTTGCATTATTTGTACTCATTCTATAAACTTTGTCCAGCTCTTTCAGAATATCATCTTTGTCTTTTTCCAACATTTCTGCTAGTATTTCTGCTATCACCTGTTCCAGATCCTCTTCTTTTGATTCCACTATGTTCTGGAATCTCAAGTATGCTGCAGCCTTATCCATCTCCAAGTAGACCAGTGAGTCTTCCATTTCTTTGCTCACATTCCTTAGGTGTTCCATCAACCATCTCCAGTTTCTTTTCAGTTTGTTCTGTCCTTTTCTCTACCTCTTTTATTGTCGATTCGTTTGTCTCTAATGCCTGCTGAATTGTTCCAATTTTCTCATCCAACTTTGAAATATCTACTTACATTTCCGCCTTTAGTTTCCCCATCTCTTCTTTTAGTTCATTTTAGTTCAGCTCTTGCCTCAATATGGTTTTTCGTCATTATTTCTTGAAGCTTCAGCATAAATTCTTGTAAGATGAGGAGTGTCAACTGGATATTGGCATTTATGGTAGAGGATTGCTTCTCCCCTGGTAATGTTTCCTTGATTGTCTTTTGTGCCATAGTTCAGGGCAATGCCGCCGTGGTTGTTAGTGTTGGAATAGTCTTCTTCCCAGTTTTAAGCGTTGTAGTAGTTGTAGAAGTCATTTCTTTGAGGATTTTTTCTGTTTTTGTATTATACTAAATATGTTATCCTAAATTAACATTCAATATTCAATAATATCAGGTGAGAGTAACTACTAATCTAATTGATTGGTTTCTCTATCTATTAGTTTCCTAATTTCCTTAGTATATTGGCAGGCTAGACACTCTTATAAATGTAAATATTATCCAAAGTAATTTCAAATTCAAATTCTAAATCAGATATATAAATATATAGAATCCTGTACTTATATCAAAATCTCTATACTTAATTTATAAATATTAATAATAATAATAACTGCTTTATCCTATCACTCTAATCCTATATATAAATACTATATATGAATCCAAATATCTATAAATACTATCAAGCACTTAATAAATATATATACTATAAAATAATTTTAAATGTTTATAAATCTAAGTAGGAATAAGTTTACCTCACTATACAACAATTAATTATTTAAAATGTAAATATCACAATTAATTATTTAAAATGATCAGCAGATATATTCAAATACTGATATTTAATTAATTATATTTATTACTTAATTGATACTTATTGCTATTATTTCCTTTGTTTTTCCTATATACAGTATTTAAATGAGATATAAACCTCAATATTGCTAATCCATCAACTAAATCAGATAGTTACTACAATCAATTTTCTTTCTTTCTTAACTGTAACTAAAGAAAAAAAATTAATAGAGGAATAATTAGTCCAAACAGCAAAGATTAGAAAGCATGAAGTATCTTAATGTAACTCTTCAACTCTCCATATCTGAAGTTAGAAAGTTCCGTCTCCAAGCACACCGGAAGTGGAGAGTTGCTGAGTAATGTCTCTGGTTTCAAAGTATCACAGCATACTCCGCTGTAGCTGTTCCTCCTTTTGCTCAAATCTCTTACAGTCAGATCTTCCAAATTTCATCACCTAATACAGTCTCTTCAATTAACACATTTCATCAGCATATTACACCTCCAATCAATAGTCCAAAAAGCTCAAGTGAATTGTTAAGTATTATCTATAGTAATACAATGGCTTTGCTTACTTCACCGCTTCCGATCTTCCTCCCGTCTCCAACTTATTAATCCAGTCTTTCCGAATGAAAACAATCCAAATTGCTCACACTTTCCAGATGTTAAACTTTTTTCCCCATTGGTATTGATGAGACAAACCTCTCCGATATTCTTGTCTTCTCTGTCTGATCATTAGCGTCCTTACCCTCTTCCGTCTCCCAAGCCCTTTCGCTTTCACTGCCACTCGCATCCACTTCTTAACTGCTTCTTTCAGGCTCCGATCCAACTGTTGTTATTTTCATCTACGGGACTTCTCCAATGCTCCACGCTTTATCAAGGTCGCAGATTTCCTCACACACACTCTTCTCCATTAACCACAGTCTGTCACTCACTCGCTTCCTCTTGTAGGTGACAGTTTGGACTTCAGGACTGCCATTACTGGTTGACGGTCTCTTGTTTGTTGGTCTCTACAGGCTCCATCTATGTCGCGATGAGAATTGCTTTCTCCACACCACAACTCGAATCTCCCCACATCGGCATGTTTCTCTATAGGATATGTGCACCCCTAATGGTTGCACCAACAGCAAGAAAAGCCATGAAGGAGCTTCCCCACCTCTACTCATCCATACCTCATCACCAGAAGTCCCCATTTTTAACTTTCTTGAAGTAGCTCTTAAAATGCCTTGTTTTTCTTTTTTCAGAGGCAGAAGCACTGCCTCCCAAGCACATTATAGGCATTCAGTACAGTGGTAGTAATGATTTGGGCAGGTAAGAAAATGAATGACAGGCAACCAACTAAGCAGTGCCCTGAAGCTAGTGTGTGGGCACTGCATTGACCAGCCTTATTGTCAGGATGCATTAAGGAAAGCACATTGCCAATGGCCATGTAGTTGAGTCCTTACTATTTCTGTCAGAATAATGCAGAAAATATAAGAGATGTGTAACTTTTCATCTCTCTCTTCCCTTTCTTTGAAATATGAGTAGTGGTGAGAGGAGTTGTTCTTTTAGGCCCAGTTCAGACTATTGTGTTAGATTTTTAAAGCCCTTCATAAGTTGTGCCTAGGAACCTGTCTTCTTATATATCTTGTTATATTTGTAGATTCAAACTTTGACAGAGAATCTTCTGAAAGTATTGTTTTCTTTTTGTAGAGAACATGACATGGATGTCTACAGGAATAGCAAGGGAGAGAAATGAAGTTGCATGCCTCATGAAATCATCAGGCAAATATATAATTCATGTGATTTGTTTGATGACTAATGGCACTTGCAACTTCACTGTGATATCATCATGCCTCTAATGGATATCTGTAAGCTCACTTGATACTTTAATTTCTATTTTACCAAACCAATGTTGTTCCTTTTTTTCCAACAGTTTTTATTTCCTGGGCTTTCATGCCCTCATTTGTTGCTCAATTAATTGGTGATCTATACAGTAATTATATTTCTACAAATAACAGATATTCTTCTTAACATATTTTTAAGTTGAAGTATTACATTTTTAAATTCTTTGTAATTGATCTTGATATCTGAGCCTATATACAGATAATCTTTGGCTTACAACCACAATTGAGCCAACAATTTCCATTGCTAAGTAAGATAGTTATTAAATGAGTTTTACCCCATTTTGTGACTTTTCTTACCACAGTTATTAGAATTTATTTAGAATCATTGCAGTTGTTACATTAATAACTTAGTTATTAAATGAATCTGGCTTCCCCATTGACTTTGCTGGTCAGAAGGTCACAAAAGGTAATCACATAACCCAGGGGCACTGCAACCATCATAAAAATGAACCAGTTGCCAAGTGGCTGGATTTTGATCACATGACCACGGGAATGCTGCAACACTCGTAAGTGTGAAAAATTATCATAAGTCATGTCTAATGGAGATTTTCAGTCATCCAAGTCATAGTTGAAAAAGCACCTTTGGAACTATCATGTCACTTTTTTCAGTGCTGTCGTAACTTCTGTTTGGTGAAATAATCTTTTGGAACAAAGACGTAGTAAGAATTAATTGGTCAAATTAACTGATCATTGGTGCTATTAGCCTGTCTCTGTTGGTGTCATTCACATATAATAGGTCTCAACCCCTCATTAATTCCATGCCTTATGGGTGACATTTTCTACATAGGATAAAAGAATTTGTAATGACAGCCGGCCCTCGACTTTTACATGCTCAATAAATGGTAGGACGATGAATGTACTGATTTGACTGCTGCATAGCCAAGCTTCTGTGCACAGAGAAGGCAGTGGTGAGCTCCATAGATATGAGAACTTAATGCAAAGTAACGTATGATAAACTCAGGCATAATGTTGAAGGTATTTATTTCTTTGGCCAATTTAGCAAGTAGAAGATCTCATAAACTACATTTTAGAATTGTGTGAAAAACACAGAAAATGTCTGAGGCAACACCTGGCCTTCCGTGTTTCTTTCCCTCCCCTTTCTATCTGCAGATGGGAAAACTGAATTTAGAGATATTTCAGCAGATGCCAGCTGTTTACATTGATCTGAGTTTATTTTATTTAATAATAACAACCAGGAAATATTTTATAATCGAGTTAGGCGCCACACAACTGTTTTTAAACTGAGGGGACAAAGTTTATGAAAGCTCTTTTATTCTATATCTCATGAACCTATTATAAACAGGAATAGAAGGTCTATATAGATTGTACTATATAGACTGTACTTATCAGTGTTTAATGTGAAACGGTTCTTAAATTGAACAAAATAGGCTAAAATATTGGTGCTTTCTTCAAATCACTCTTAATTTTTGGCAGTGCATTTTCAAAATAGCAATAGATTACAAATAAAAGATGCCAAGATTTAGCCTAAGCATTTTAGAATTTGTTCCAAAACTGCTATATAATTTAGCATATTTTAATTTTGTCTTTATTTCATCAGATGAAACCTATAGCATAAGAATTAAGACTGCAGTGAGATTCTCTTCATTTTCCTTGTCAAACACCCCTCCCCCCAATACAATCATGATAGGTATATTGAGAAATGTGCAATACGTACTGCTTGTTTTCATGAGTGCTCAGGGCAACTAGGACCGAAATCAGTCTCTTATAAAGAGACAGGTCTCTTATAAAGGAAACATGCTGGTTTCTTCTGCATTACTTGTGGCAGTACCACTTTTGGAGACATTTTCATCAGTTGTATGCCACTGTCTTGTAATTTGATTTTAACACAAAAATTATTTTTTAGAACTGTTCCTAAGTTCTTTCTAAACTTCACACCAATAAAGACATAGAGAACTGGGTTGAGGCGACCATGGAAATAAGCAATTGCTTTTATGATGATCAAAGCATATGATCTGAGGCCTGCATGAGTTTCAAAAGGTTATGGGGGCATTTGTGTCAAAATGAAAGTTACAACAATAGCAAATGTTATTTGTAAAGATTTGTGCTTATGGAAGCCCTTAGCACTAAGTAAAGTTTTTACAATGATTGAATAGAATATAATCATGATGAGCATAGGACAGAAGAATCCATGTGTCATCTGAATTGTTTCTGTGAACAACTCCATTAACTGAAGAATAATTTGCAAAACATATCTTTTTGTCTAATTTTTCTTCTGTACTGAAGATGAACAGCAAGCAGCAGAGAGATTATCCAAATTGAAATGCAGACCACAGTACCCCAGAATTTTCTTTCGTGTTGATAGATATGAATTTTTGGTCACTTGCACAATTACAAAATATCTGTCAATAGTTATAGAAGTGAGCATTAACATGGGAACCATACATATTCAAGGTATAAAAACCAAGGATGATTTGACATGGTAGAGTGTAAAAGATCCACTCTTCTGCAGCAGAATAAGCCCAGAAGGGCAAAGGAAGCTGAAGTCAGCAATAGCCAGGCTCATTAAAAATATGTCTGTAAGCATTTTCACTTTTTTGTAAAAAAAAAACAAGATTATGATAACCAAAGAGTTTCCTGTCACTCCAAAGATGCAGGCAAATAAATACATGCAGACAAGGAAAACTCGCTTGAATCCCAAAAAGGTTTCTTTCATATGAGTAGCTTTCATCAGAAGTGTTATTGCTTAGAAATGCATAGTAATCATCTTCCTCCATGTTTGTGTTCCTTCTGTTCTTTGATACCTATAAGAATATATATTGGAAAATGGTTCACATGATAAATCTACAGTGCAATTTCCCCTACTTATTATTAGGAAAAGTTTCTATCATGCTTCATCAGGTTGAGATGGGGAGATGGCAAGTGCATCTAGATACAGGAGGGGAAGACGAGATTGGGGAAGGCTGCTACATTTTAATTTCCTTAGTTTGAGAATGTATCATTGTATCAAACTAACTTACAATAATATATATATATATATAGATATAGATATAGATATAGATATAGATATATAGATATAGATATAGATATAGATATATATAATGGCATTAACAATGTAAAGTAATACTAATGATATTTGAAGAAAAGAAAAAGAAAGAAAAGTTTACATCATAAAATTACCTCTCTTTTCCAAAAGGAAACTTATTTTGAGTTAAGGTTCCAATTTTTAAATTGCCCTTCAATAATAAGGTAATAGAAGCCAACTCTTATTAAACATTCTGTGAAATGTCCAAAACATAAAAGCATTTTTACCATTATGCTCAATGGAAATTAATTGCATACTTTGAAAAACAGACTTTGACCAGTTAAATCTTAATAAATTATTTCCAAAGATAACAAAGTCAACTTCTTCCTTTTTTTGAACTTGCTAAAACATAGTTTATAGCAGGGGTGGGTTTCTACCGGTTCTGTCCACCTCTGTAGAACCGGTAGCTCTGAAGAGCAGCAGACATAGAACCGGTTCTATGTCTGCTGATGTTTTTGCCCACCCGCCCACCTGGGCTCTTACCTGATCTTTATTTCCTTATTTTTTCAACTTCAGCTGCCGTGCAAGGCACAGCTGCAGTTAAAAAAGCAAGAAAAAAGGGCTTTTTCAAAGGCTGCTTCTTTGCACGCAGCATGTTGATGACGATTTACAGGTGTGCACTGGCAGCGTGCAGGGGGAAGCACATCGTAAATCACCGAATCTCATAAATCACCGAACTGGTAGTTAACCCTGTCGGAACCCACCCCTGGTTTATAGTTTAAACATAATTTAAATTTCAGTTGATTCCCTAAAATCTACAAGCTCAGATACAGTAATGGCATCACAACTAGAGTCCAATTATCAAGGTTTTAAGTTAAAGAAATAATATAAATCAAACTTTTTGTTTAATTCCATAGATGTTTTCAAAGCAGTTTCCTCAGAACTGAATTGATCCAAAATGCCCAGTTTGCCCAGAAAATAGATTGATTCACTTTTTAAAATATATTGTCTTATGGCTGTAATCATTGGTAAATTTTAATTTCATAAAGGAACCAAACAATCATCAGCCCCAAGGCATAATCTGAACCTTAATAGCAAAATATGTTTCTACTATATTAATCCTGAAACAAGGTATGAGATCATGTAACTGATCAAGTATATATAAGTACATAATAATTGTATTATGCATGTATACATAGATCAATATACATCTGTAAAAGCCACAAAAGAACATAAGTAGTCATCCAGTAAGGATTTTTCAGGTGGTTAAAAAGAAGCAGAAGAAAATGATTTACTGAAAAGGAAAGTATTTATCATTCAAGGTTGACAAATTATTTACACAGATAAACAACAATTCTAAATGTTTAAAGCAAACTGTAAATATCTAATAGTTATAGGAGCGGGGAGTGAAGGGGAAAATGCACTATTGAATATTTCATTTTACAATTACACTTTAATTATGTTTTTATCTTTTGGCATCTCTATTTTTTATCTACTTTTACAGAGTACCTAAACAAAAATAAAACTCATCAAATACTTTTAAGAATAAGTAAAACAAAATAAGTATAGCATTTCTTAAGTTGAATATGCATAAAAACCATAGGAAGCTGGAGCTAACTAATGATTTATGGCATCTTTTGATAATAATGCTTGGATTTGTTTGTTCCCCCTTTGCAAATAAATGCATTGCAGTACTGATGCATTTTTACAGCCAATATTCTTGGAAAAGAAAATAAATCAATTATTTAAAACTGTAGAAGTGGATATGAAAAGTGAGATGTAAGAATGTATGATTTATAAAAAATAAAAGCAATCTACTTTTTAAAATGCAACATATCTGAAAAAGTGGATAATTTTTTCAATATCACTCTTTTTAAAAGCTAGTGATTTTTCTAACTTGTTTTCTTCTATATAAAGATTTTAAATATAAATCTGAAAGAGACAACAACTTACCCTGCAGTGGTACAAACGTGTCTTTTAGTTTAATATCAGAAAGGCATGAGAATGACATTTGTGGTAACAATATGTATTTATTTGTTACCATGTGTTTCCTGTTCAATTTTACAGGAAAAGAAATTAGATTACTTATGCATCTGATTTACCATTAAATATCCCTAATTGGATAACACAGTTAATTGTGGGAAATTATGTTTGTGTGTGTTTTGGTACAGCAAGGATTATCTATGCAAAATTTTGGATAAATGAAAATATTCCATGAGATAAGGAGGTAATCAGAAAGTTCCTAGAATGTGCTGAGATGGATAGACTGACTTTAAAAAGAAAAGAAAAAGAAGACTCAGAATTCTATTTGATATGGAATAGATCTTATGAATGGCGTAAAACAAGGGGTAGAAGTTACAGGAAGAAAAATGATGAACGTTTTTATTAAAAACAGAGAAGATATAGAACTATAATTACTATAAATATTAAAAATATGAATGAGTTAAATACAAAGAATGGGAACTGTATTGTATGGGAATTGTAGTATTACTAGAGCTTAATTTAGTTGTTATATTAATAAATGGACAATATTTTTACAGTATTAGCTATATTTCTTTTTTCTTTTTGTAAATAATATATCCGGACACTGTATTCAAAAAATGTTTATCAATAAAATAAAAATATAAAAACAATTAAGCCCAGAGAGCACTAAAGACTCCATTTTCAGTTTGCAACAATTTTATTAAATTTTATTGAAATTTGACACAATGTTGAACTGTTTGTTTTATGTGCAGTTTCATAAAAATTCTGTGCAGATTATATAGGACAAGCATAAGAAATAATTTCGGTGGTACATATTTTAAAAGCAATCATGCTATAGGCAGTAAGACTGCTATGGTAGAAATGTTCAGAAACAAAGCCTAAAATATCTGAAAGATCTGGGGGTTTGAGTAGTATCTGAGTGTTGAATATTCCCCAAGTCACTTGCATAAATGGAGCTTCGTGCATACCCACTTGCCTCCTGCTCACACAATTGGAGCTGCACGTGCACGCGGCTTGGTTCCGAATGGATTGTGACCTGATATTGGTCTGCAGCCTGGGAGTTGGGACCTCTGGTGTAGGAAGCTTAACAATCTGCTACTTTTTTGCATATATTTTTATTTTATTAAAGACAAACACAAAATACAAAACTCCCCCCCAAAATCCAAATCAATTTGCAAATTATTGATCTGTCTTCTGTATATCATATTAGTCACAAAATAATTAACAGGAAGAATAGTGCTACTAAAAACAAAATCAAAGTTTCAGAATGCTCTATTAACAAACTATTGTAAACCACTCATAGGATGGTTACCACAGCATTTTATCTATCCCAAGTTATCCTAAAAGTTATAAATAGTTTGTTATGGATCAAATATCTATGTTTCTTAATGCCATATCTTATCAGTTGTTCAATTAAATATAATTGACCCAGTCTCCAGAATATCAAAGTCCAAATAAAAGTGGTTATCAGTTAACTGTAATAAATCCACGAATGAAAGCAAATATATGTGTCCCAGGATAATTTTACAGGATCTAATCTGGGTCAGAGGTTTGTAGTCTTCCAAGCTTTTGGACTCATGCTGGAGCTCATCCTCAGGGAACTTATCTTTACTAGAATATATGGTTGGGGCAGTGGTGGGATTCAAATAATTTAACAACTGGTTCTCTGCCCTAATGACTAGCTGGGTAGGTGTGGCTGGGTGGTCATGTAACTGGGTGGACATGGCCAACTCGACATCATTCACGTCAAGGGGCACTTCTCGCCTGGCCTCACGTGACTGTGGGGATGCTACAATAGTTGTAAGTGTGAAAAACGGTCATAAATCACTTTTCAGTGTCATTGTAACTTTGAATGGTCACTAAATGAACTGTTGTAAGTCAAGGATTACCTGTACAAAAATACAAAAAGCTTCTTTGCTTGCCAAAAGCTGCCCTAAATAACAATTGTTAGATTAAAAATACTTGCAAGCCGGAGTTACAAATCAGGCAGGGTGCCAGAGCACCTTAAGGAATTAAAATAGTTAAAATGCAATGATAACTATCAGCAGCCAACTCTTGCTCATAAAGTGAAACCCTTTAGCAGAGAGAAGCAATCCTTAGATCCATTTGCACCACTTAAAAGACACCAGCTGGGCTCACCTCACAAGATATCCTAAGGAAATCATCCAGATTTAAAGAAAGATCACATGCCCCCCAGAAAGGCAGTAAAAAATTCAGTGCCAAGCTTGCATCCTGCCTCTTGGAAGTACACCCCAAAAGGACAGTGCCAGGAACCACTAAAGCAATGATAGAAATGATTCCCAGATAGAAAAACCATGAGGCAGGAAAAAAATTCAAACACAATACAAATAATTAAATCACAACAATAGCTGTTGCTTGTTAAACCAATTATCAGAACAAATAGACACAGGAACTAGCCAGATTTCTCAACCCAGTTTCTTTACAGAGATTAACTTTTTTCCTTCTAAACAAAGCTGAATAGGGAAAATTATCCCATCAATAAAGACAGGATTAAACGCCACTGAGCACAGAATTAAACTTCACCAAAAACCAGTTTTAGACCAAAACTCACAAAGGATATGTAAACTCACGTTTGAATGTCAATCTTTCTAGCTAGCCAAGAAGCCTTGCTGAATGTCACTCATCTTGGTTCCTTGTCATTAAAAGCTGCTTTCTGGCAGCTCTGCTTCATTATTTCTTCAAAGTGTTGATCATAGTATTCCAGCTAGACGTACTTCCAGGGAAGTATTTTCTCCCAACAGCAGTGTAAAAAGCTTAAAACAACCCTTCCCCTTTAAGAAAGTACCAGCAAAGAAAAAAAATTTCCAGAGAAGCTCCAGAGACAGGAAGTCTAGGTGTACTGCCAAGAGTATAATAAAGGTTAACAGAGAGGCAGTTGCTGTAAGCAGGGCAATAAAGATTAGGCTAAAAACAACAGCTGGTGATTTTAAGTTTCCTTCCTGCCTTCCTTACAGGATTAGCCCTGTAAAGTGGGGAAAAAAAACAAAAGGAGATTTCTTTCAATAA